CTTTGCTATTTGGGAGTTGAACTATTGTATTGAGTACTTCTTCTGTTGTAATAGTTTCTGTAAGTGAATTATACCAATCAGGATTGATATGTGGTTGTGGTTGGTAATGTTGTTGCCAAAAGTTTTGATAAAGGTTGTGGTTAATTGGTCTGTATGTTGTCCAGTTTTCAAAGTGGTTTTGAATATGTTGCTTAATAGCATTTGGTTCAGTAATAAGTTGGTTTGTAAGTTTAATATTAGAAAAATGAATAGGTTCATGGTAGCGGTTAAGAATACTATTAATAGCCTGTTTGGGATGTGAGACAAGAGTTTCACATCTTTTCTCAGAAGCATTTTGTATCTGTTGGCGAAGGAGGAGTGAGTTTTCCATATTGCGTGCATGATATAGCTGTTTCCAGATATCGCAGGCATGTGTAATCCATTCCTCAATATGGTTAGGTGAGAGAATAAGTTGAAGATTACATTGTACTTGGAGGTTGATTAATTGAATATGATGGTTAATGGAGGAAATGTTAGTTGACAATTTGTTAGTTTTAGTGATTTTAATTAAGTGACTGAGTTTTTTGAGTGATAAATGTAGTAAGGTGCTATGTGAAGTATATTTGTGATTGTAGCTTCGTTTGCGGCTAATTTTGTTTGGTATTGATTGTTTTGCAGCATTAATAAAAGAGTGTTCAATTTTGTGCCAAGTTGTTTGAAGAGTTTCATGAGAGTGTGTAGTAAGAGGGGTGTTGTGAAGGTTAAGGTTAGATGTAAGAAGATCAGAAAACTCTGTCCATTTATCTGAGTCCATTGCTTTGTAGTTAAAGATTCTGCGACTTATACCAGTATGGTATCTTGAGGGCTTGCTGTATGCATTAGGAAATGTCCATAAGGATAAGAGAATCAAATGATCACTGAAAGTACTAGTGTTGCTTGAGTCAAGATTGTATGAAAGGAGAAATTGAATAGTGAATTGGTCAGTCCAGATGTAGTCTATGCGGCTACTACTAGAGTTATTAGACCAAGTGTAATGTGTGTTGTCAAGATGTGCTCCAATATCATACATGTTGGAGTGATTAAGAAAGTTAATAAGCTTGTATTTGTTTGATGAACTGTGGATAGAATCTTGTGTATTGAAATCTCCTAGTATGATAGGGTGGAGATTTGAGTGGTGTGCTGATTGGATCCAATTAATGACAGTGTTTTGTGTATGCATACGTTTTGTAGAGTCTGTGGATGAAAGATATACTGAGATTATGCGGAGCTTAATATTGCTCTTAAAAAAGAGGTCTAAAGCAATAGCTCCACCTGGATGTGTTATACAGCTATGCACATGGGGTCTAAGGTAGTTGTGGATCATAATAGCTGTTCCCTCAGCTGAAGTTTCAGAGTTGGACCAATAGTAAGTAAAAGTGTTGTTGTTGCAGAAAAATAGATTTGTTTTGTTCGATATTTTGGTTTCTGTGATGCTGGCAACAGAGATATGATTCTGTAAGCAATAATTCTGCCAGGTTTCTCTTTTAGTAATAGTGTTAAAGCCTCTAACATTATGAGTTGCAATAGTAAGGTTAAGATTATGAGTTTGGTCTGGATTAAAGGTTGATTGAGGATGTAATGTTGGTGAGCTGTGAGAATTACAATTAGAGGTTGAAGAATGGTTGTCAAAGAATAAATCAGATGAAATGGAAGTAGGGTTAATGAAATTAGATCTGAGAGGAAGATTATAGAATATAGGAAGAAGATGTGGGGCAATCACAATATGATCAGGTAAGAGAGTGTCATTAGGAAGGTATATGTGAGTTTCATCATAAGATGAATTAACAGAAAATGTGATGCTAGATACAGTTTTGTTGTTGTTATATTTGTCAATATGTTGAATGAGGGTTTGAATAGTTTGGTCATGAGCGAGGAGTGGTAACTGATAATGAAGAAGGAATCTGTTAAAACATGTGTGATAATAATCTAGATCATATAGTATATTGCGGGGTAGGTCTTTTGATGTTCTCTTGGTGTGAGATGATGAAATGGGATTCAAGAGAGTAAAGGATTCTTCTGTAGATTCGCTCGCCGTATGCTCGGTTCTCACAGCTGCGAAGAGTGCCATAGCCTGCTCTGTACATTGAGTCTGGCCGTCATTAACTTGGTTCTCCGCGTAACAATATATATTTTTATATGAATACTAAAATATCTTTTAATATAAAATAGTTTGTCAAATTATATTTATAGTAAAAAGAAAAAAAAAGCTATTTAATACTAATCTATTTTATTGATATATAAGTGTTCAAATTATTTGGTTATTAAAAAAAAGTAATATATAAGTATAAAAATTAGTGTATTTATTAGAAATTAAGATAGCATTATTTATTTATCTATTTAACTAATAAGAGCTTACTTTATTATTCTAGATCCTCTAACTTCCCTTTTAATAGTCTCTAAGCCCATAAGCAAAGACATTGTGCTATTCTTATAGTTTTAAATGCCAAACTAGATCTTTTGTTTGTAATCATATTTCTATCTGCAGAAAAAGCATATTCAGAAGTAGCAGAGGCTGCAGGAATTGCCAAGTAATCACGAGCCATATGGGAGAGACAAGAAAACTGTATTTGGTATATCTATTATATATTACAGTATATTAAAATTAATATACTATTTAATATACTTACATTTACTTTTAGTTAACTTTCACTAGGCCAACACATCAATATCCCTATTCGCTAGCCTCTCTGAAATATAGAATTCAAGTTTATCAAGATTTTTGTCATCTTCATCAAACTCTATATCTATTATTGATCATGTAGTTGATTTTATGGCTTGCTAATATTCTGGTTACTATTAGATGCAGCTAGAAATATTTGGTTTCAAAAATATCATGCATTCTAAAAAGTAAATTTATTATATAAGAAAATTGAAATTAATATTATGATCTCTAATAAGTAATCATTAAATAGAGCTCCAAATATGATACTAAATTGTTATACAGAGGACCTCTGTTAATATCAACCCCATTAATATTAAGTTATAAAATGAATTCTGTATATTAAAATTATATTAAAAACTCTCTTATATATATCAAATTTTAATAGAATCTCTCGCTAATATCTCTATCAACATGAATATAAAAGCAATCAAAAGAGGTTGATATTAATAAGGGTTCTCTGTATAACTAAAATTCTATAAGCAGTGCTTAAAACTTGAATATTCACTAATAAAATAAAAAATTTGACATGTCAAATTTTATGTTTTACTAATAGTTAGCATAAGTACTTTCTGTAGGCTTGATATAAAAATAACTATATAGTAGTATATTATATATTACTATATAGATATTTTTATATTATGAACAGTAAATTCCTGTGAATCCGCAGGATAATATAAGATCATGATTTTTGATTCATGATTAATTAGCAGTATCACAAGTTTGTTTTTTATAATATATACCCATATTTTAACTATACTAACAATAACTAAACAATAATTAAATAAAAAATAATATACAAGGTCTTTGTTTCATTAATTTCGTCTTCTGGGAACTCTTTTTTAGTAAAATAATAGAATTTTCTTCTTGGGTCCAAAGCAGTGCATAATATTACAGTTGGATTTATTTTGGAATAATATTGAACAAGTTTTTCTTGTGCAGCTTTAGCTGCCATTGAGAGCAATGGTCTAATAATTGAATTATTTTGTAAATTAATAAATATAATACTAAAATTTACTTAATAACTAACACTCTATTTCTTCAACTGAAACTACATCTT